ATCTCTGTATTTCCTTTAATTTTTGATCCAAAAACTTAATTGGGATCATCCAAAACAAAAAAATAATTTTTGGTAAAACACGGCTGCTTTCTAACATCTACCTCAGACATGTCAAACACAAGGCCCGAGGGCTGGATGCGGCCCGCGAAGTGGTTTTATGTGGCCCGCGAAGCCATCCTGGAAACAGTGAGGGAACGGCGTCTGCTGCCTTGGCCCTGGCCCAGGCCGGACGGACGGGAGCCAATGTACAATTTTGTGATGGCCATCTATGCTGAAACGCATTCAGTCTTAGCTCCACAAGGCCGTCTGGAAACAGCGAGGAACCAGCCCCTGCCGCGTCAGCCCCACCCTCTGGGTGCATGTTGGGGAGCTGTCACCCTTTGTGAGGAATGAAGAAATCCACCATTGCCTGGAAGCGGCCAGCAAATGGCCCTCGCCTACTCACATATCCGCCTTGATGGGCTCTGGGGGAAGGGTTTCGGCAGGCAGCGGGGCGCTCTCCTCACAGCGCTGAGAGGCTGAGCCGGGCGGCACAAATCCCAAAAGAAATGTGAGGCCGTCCAGCTCCCAGCCTGCCCGGTTTCAGCAGGCAGCGGGGCGCTCTCCTCACCGTGCCAAGAGCTGAACCAGGTGGCGGAAATCTGATGAAAAATGCAGTGCTGCCTAGCCCCCAGCCTGCCCAGTTTCAGCAGGCAGCAAGGTGCAAAGCTGGCAAGCTTCGCACCGTCTGGCTCAACCTCTCGGTGCTATGAGGAAAGCGCCCCGCTACCTGCCGAAACTGGGCAGGCTGGGGGCTGGGCGGCATCACGCTTCTTTTCAGATTTGCGCCTCCTGGCTCAGCCTCTCAGCGCTGTGAGGAGAGTGCCTCGCTCCCTGCTGAAACCGGGCAGGCTGAGGGCTGGACGGCATTGCACAGGTAACGTTGACTCTCATGCTGCTCATGGCATCCCCTCCCCCAGAGCCCACCAAGCCAGATATGTGAAGTAGGTGAGGGCCATGTGCTGGCTACTTCCAGGCGATGGTGCATTTCTTCATTCCTCACGAAGGGTGATACCTCCCCAGCTGCGTTTCTTGCCTGTTTTTCTCCCTCCTTCGTCTCAAATATTTTCCCACCACTCTGTACTTAGGAAGGAAGGAAAGAAGGAGAGGGAGGGTCTGAGGGAAGTCCTGCCTTAGTCCTGCCCTGCTGCCCTTTCACCATCCCCTTGCCCCCTCCTCCTGGCCTACCCTGGGGGTCTCCCATCCTATTGCTAAGGAAGCTTTGGATACAAAGCCAGGTCTCCTCCCATGGAGAGGGAATGGGCCTCCCTCTAACTTTGCCCTCGTACCCATCATGAGCAACCTGGCTAAGGAGAGCAAGCACAGCAGCAGCAGCCTTGAGGAGGAGGTAAGTGCAGCTGGGCGCCCCCTTGGGGAAGTGGGCCTGGGCTTGGTGTCGCAGGTGCTCAAGGGCCAGGCTGGGCATTTGACCTCTGCTGTCCAGGGCTCCGGGCAGCCGGCACCATCGAGCCCGCCCCCCCTGCATGGCCTGAGAGGAACAGTGAGGCTCCTCCAGTGGACCATACCTTGGCACTTCCCCTGGTCCCACCCCCTTCAACCAGAGATCCTGGCACACTCCTACCCAGGCCCAGACAGGCACCCTTGACGCGAACGATATAGAGCTGGCCATAGCCACTCCATCCACGCCCACCCAGTAGGCCGCACCCACCCTGGCCACACTCACCCGGCCCCGAGGGCAACCGCAAAGGTGATGCAGCCCTCAATGAAATTGAGTTTGACCCCCCTGATCTACATGAAACCAGTAGGGGAGGCCATCCATCCTATGATACCCCGTTATGTACAGGTAGCGCTGGACTTAGCGACCATTTGAAGTTACAACAGTGCTAAAAAAAAGTGACATGACCATTTTTCACACTTACAACCATTGCAGCATACCCCTTGTCACGTGATCAAAATTATGACGCTTGGCAGTTGACTCAGATTTGTGAGTTTCAGTGTCCTGGGGTCATGTGATCTCCTTGGAGATCCTCCTGGACTCATGGCTCCTGCCTGAGAAGATCATAGGTGGGGGAGGGGCTTTGCAGAGATTTATCTGGTGCGCCAACTGTGTCCTTTCCTGGACCAGGGAGGCCTTGCACAGGGCTCAATCATGCCTTGGTCACCTCCAGTTTGGATCACTGCCCTGGACCCCCCGGAAACCTCTAACTGGTTCAGAATGCCCCAACGCACAAATTAATGAGGGCCTCTAGGTTGCCCATATCACATCTTTGTGGTGTGAGCTGCCGCAGGCTTTGTTTCTTTTCAGGTGTAATTGAAGATGCTGCTATTCACATTTAAATCTAATACACCATTAATTAATTAATACGACACCCCACTGTGCTTTATAACACTCTCGGCTTAGTGTCAGCATATTCTCCCCAACAATCTGGGTTCTCATTTTACCGATCTGAGAAGGATGGAGGGCTGAGTTAACTTCGAGCTCCCTCAGGATCGAATTCCAGGCTGTGGGCAGAGTCAGCCAGCAATACTGCATTCTCACCACTGAGCCAACAGGACACCTGTTATTAATGTTCCACTTTATTATTTCTGCATCTATCTGTTCTACCAGGTCAGGTAGGGTGGGCATGCCTTCCCTTAACTATTGCCATCTGATAGGAGCTAGGAAGTGAGCCTTTTCCGCTGCAGACCCTGCCCTATGAGACACTCTTTCCCCTGAAGTATGGCAGGCCATTATCTGTATTAAGGTTTTATTACTGCAAGCCACCCACTCACCATAAATTGGGTTGGCATATACATTTTCTTAACAAATAATATATTTATGTGTAGAAATAGCTCAAGGCAGCAAACACACTTGATACAGATGCAAGCTCGCTTTCACTGTCCCAGCACAGCAGTTCCCCTTGACTCTGTGGAAGGGAAGGACCACACTGGGCCAGAGAAAGGAAGCTCAGATCTTCTCCCTCATGTTTGATACTAAAACACATCTGACTAAAAAGAATATGGCAAGAAATTAAAAGTTTAGTTTCTCAGCTGGGCTTCCAATTAGAGAAGAGAAATGAAATTCAANCTCGCTTTCACTGTCCCAGCACAGCAGTTCCCCTTGACTCTGTGGAAGGGAAGGACCACACTGGGCCAGAGAAAGGAAGCTCAGATCTTCTCCCTCATGTTTGATACTAAAACACATCTGACTAAAAAGAATATGGCAAGAAATTAAAAGTTTAGTTTCTCAGCTGGGCTTCCAATTAGAGAAGAGAAATGAAATTCAAGATTCTTCTACACTCATCAAATTTTGCCTGTGTAATTTCTTGTGTCTGATAAAGGTAGTATGATATGTGAAACATTTTCCACAATCTGGGCATTTGAATAGTTTCTCTCCTGTGTGTAACCTTACATGATTCATAAGGCTGGTCCTACTACTGAGATCTTTCCCACAATCTGGACACTCATATGGCTTCTCTCCTGTGTGAGTCCTCTGGTGTATCACCAGCTGATAATTCCATCTGAAATTTTTCCCACAATCTACACACTTATGTGTTTTCTCTTCCATGTGAATCCTCTGGTGTTTCACCAGGTAGAAATTCTGACCGAAACATTTCCCACAATCACGACATTTATATGATTTCTCTTCTATGTGAGTAGACCGATGTTTCACCATGTCACCTTTCCAGGAGAAATCCTTTCCACAATCTGGGCACTCATATGGTTTGTCTCCTGTATGAGTCCTCTGATGACTAAACAGGGAGGAATAACAAGTGAAACCTTTTCCACACTCTGGGCACTCATACGGCTTCTCTCCCGTGTGAATCCTCCGGTGTATCACCAGGCGGGAATTACGATTGAAACTTTTCCCACAATCCAGACACTTGAATGGTTTTATTCCTGTGTGAGTTCTCTCATGTACCACCAGGCTAGAATTCTCACGGAATCTTTTTCCACAATGCAGACACTCATACGGTTTCTCTCCTGTGTGAGTTCTCTGGTGTACCACCAGATTAGAATTCTGACTGAATCTTTTCCCACAATCCAGACACTTGAATGGTTTCTCTCCCGTGTGAGTCCTCTGGTGACTCAACAGGTGGGAATTCTGACTGAAACCTTTTCCACAATCAGGACATTCATATGGTTTCTCTCCCGTGTGAGTCCTCTGGTGAATCACCAACTTGCAATTGTGACTGAAACTTTTCCCACAATCTGGACACTCATATGGTTTCTCTCCCGTGTGAGTTCTCTGGTGTATCACCAGGTGGGAATTCTGACTGAAACTTTTCCCACAAACGGGACATTCAAAGCGTTTCTCCCCAGTATGAGTTCTCTTGTGTCTCACCAGATTGGTGTGCATGCTAAATCTTTTCCCACCCTGGGAGCACTGGTAGAGCTGCTCCTCCTGCATCAGTCCTTCCATGAATAATTGGAGTGCTGTTCTGAGTAAAGCTTTTGCCACAGTCCAAACATTTGCATGGGTTTTCAAGGGGTGGATGGACTCATGCAAAAATCAGGTGTGATCTGCAATCCGTGTTTTTCCCAAAATAGGCAGTCGGTGGAATTTTTCTAACACTGATATTCTTGGATTCATGAGGTCGTCAAAAATATTTCTGATCCCTTGTCTGGTGGTGCTTTGATCCAAGACGCTTTCCTTCCTCAAACGCTTTCATTAATGCCTTTGTACTTTTTCATGCAATATTTTCTTGAGTTCCACATAATCTATTTTTTCTACCTGAAATCTCTGTTCCTGTTATTCTCTCCTTTGTCTCCCTCCATCTGTTAAGGAAAGAGAAGAGTTTTAACACTTTCTGGAGGAAATGGAACAGATTTTGATTGATGGTTTGTTTTGCATTTTAACGCTGCTTCTCATTCTTTGTTGTCCGGAGTACTCTTCTTGGCATCTTCTCTGATTATAAGATTCATATTAATGGATTAGTTTCATTATTGTTTAAAAAATGGCTGCTGAACCTGTGAAAACAGCAAAAAAAATCCATCTATCACTATGAAAAAGCAAACATATCAAAATGCTAATTTAACCTCTAAGATTCATTATGATTCATCAGGCACAGAGGAGACTAGCAAAATCAAACTTCAAGTATCCACTCATATTTCAAATCATGGAATTCGCTTCTTGGCTTGTGTAAATCACGAATTATTATCATTGCAAATAGTTGTTACAAAAAATACAGATGTATATGCACACGTAAATACACACCTATAAATTTATATATGTGGAAAATCTATGTGTATTTCAGACCTTCAAAATGTTTCAGAAGTGGATTCACTTAATTTGTTTGATCTAATTTTAGAAAGCTGGGACACTAACAGATGAAACAGTGCCCAAAGCCTATGCGAGATTTAAAGCACCTGTTTTACTCCCGAAAGTCCTCACTTGCCAGGAAAACATGTCAATAATATCACAAGGAATGAAGACTGAGAGAGGCAGGCTGTTAAAATATATGAAATACAGATTTTTAAAATTCCCCAATTTTCCATCTCTCAGCAGAAAATCACAGGCAGCAGTTTTACATTGATAAATATGTATCAATATGATGAATCTTCAGAGTCAGTTAAACCTACAATACAATGGAATCTAATTGAATAGAAAAATAAGTACAATTGGTGGGAATCAGGAAAAGATAACATAAAGGAAGTAAGATAAACAGATAGGCAAAAATAGCTGGGTTTTAGAGTGGGAAAAGGAAGAAGACAAACTATAAAAAAAACAGCTGTAAGAGGAAATGGCTAGCCAGCAAAGACATGTTGAATTGGAAAACAGGAAAATAAGCTGAATAAGATAAGAGGAAAGGCACACTGAATTGAAAAACAGGAAAGAACCTATTGTTCTAAAAGGGGGACATAAATATCCAGAGTTTAGAATAACCATTTAAATGGCTAATTTTTCTTATTATTATTGTATATGTGAACATGATTTAATATGTTATCAGGAAATGTGTATAAGCGGACGGAAAGAGTGTAACCTCATAATACCTCAGCCAATGGGGAAAGAGGAGGGATGCAGTGGCTATAAAAGAAGGAAATATTTTGGGTTAAAACTTTGAAGAGAACCAAGCTTAATAATAATAATAATAATAATATATTGCAATAAACGAAACAAAAGGCCTTCACTGTGTCTTGGCTGGCTATGGGTCAGGCGAGCTTGCCTCTGGTCACGAAGGAAAGTAGCTCGGAGCACATAACAAAATCATGCAGCGTAAGGATAAGAACATTTGGGGAGAGAAAGAATATGCAGCAGCAGCAGCCGACACGTTTCAGCCTCGTCCCTTCGCTGCTTCCACACCGCGGAGGAAAAGAAACAGCCCGACTTACTCCCGGCTTCTCCTCCGACCTGCCCTCCACTCACCTCCCGGGAGCCGCTTCCACCATCGAGACAGCGGAAGAGGCACCATTGACGCCATCCTCCTCCCATAAGTGAGCCGGAAGAGGAGGTTCCTCTGCCCTTTCCCCCCAAAAGCCGCTCTAGCAGTCCAATCCTCTATCGTTATAATTTGTTCCAGCTCAACCTCCCTCCCTCCCGTTCTCTCACAACTACCCATATTTTTTTTCCAAGCTCAGGAGAGGGCTGGAAGAGTCATTTCCCCCCTTCTGCACAGTTGGCTTCCTGGCCAGCTTCATACCTTCAACAGCAGTTTGCTGTGCAAAAGAAAATCATGAAAGATTTTCCTGGCAGAGGAATTCAAGGCATTGCTGCAGATTGAGATCTTTTCTCAGTGCAGCTGAAGAGGGGAATGAAAGGCTGGCAGCCTGGAACTTCAACTCACCCTCTGCTTGCAGCTCTGACTTTGCCACCCGCAGAAAGGGCTGTGCAGGAGAAAGACACCTGGGCCCTTCTCGGTCTGGGTTCAGGCCGGGACACATCACCAAACCGGCATTGGTTGCAACTCTCATGGACTTTTGGAGGCCTCGGGATAGACGGGGTGCAACCATCATGTCCCTCCTAGACCTCTCATCAGCTTTCAGTACTGCATCACTGACCATGATAATTGATGGGATTTTATTGTGCTTAAGATTGATAGTAGTAGTGTTATTTTGTAACCATTTTATATTGATACTAGTAGTGATATTTTGTAATCATTTTATATATAATTTTGTTCATGTGCAAGCAGCTTTGTAGGTGCCCTATATTGGGAAATTGTTTACATAAAAGCAAATGTTTCGTGCTAAATATGTCTCTGTCTCCATAGCTGGTGTAGGATTCCTTGTCCAGTTGAAATAAACAATCACAAGCCAAAATTTCCAAGGGAAAACAATGGTAAGTAATTTCTACTCCTTTACAAGGGGGTGTGTGTGCTGCTTGTGCCTGCAAGCATACAGTGGACACAACCCAAATCTTCAATATTTGTTCTTTATATTCCCCCATTGCCATTACAAATTTACCTCCCGCCTCTTCTTCATTGGCTTATTAATCATGCTGTAATCATGTCATCACAACCTATCCAAAGCTTCTAAAATGAATATATTACCTTCCCCCCCCCCCCATCACTTCTCCCATTCCCCTTATTCTATGGCCCCGGCCCTTATTTATGAATTACCTTTTATGGCTGTTACTTCCTAGGGGTTTTCTCTAAAGTTGGGCCTCTGGCAATCTGGGAGGCCCCTGGAGAAAAGCCTTACACTGCTGCTTTCTAACATCTACATGAAACCAGTAGGGGAGGCCATCCATCCTAT